AACCCCCCATCCTGCCTCAGGACAGCCTGGGCACCAAGGTACAGAGCCGGCTGCTCCTGCCCCTTCCGCCTCCCCACCGGCCCTTCCCTGGCCTCCCGCTCTCTTCTGCTGGGTCCGGGGGCTGGCGCGCCGTGTCCATCCGCCTGGGTGACGCTTCCTGCTTCTGTCTCTGCTGCTGTCCCCAGGAGGAGGCGCGAGGGCACAGCCCGGACTCGGAGCTGACCGGGGGCAGGATGGGGGCTTACATAGTGAAGCGAGCCAGCCTGAAAAGGGGAGAGCAGTGACCCTTCCCATGGGCCCTGCTGAGGTAATGCCCCTTCGTTCTGACTAGCTCCTGCTCCGCCTGGGTGACGCTTCCTGCTTCTGTCTCTGCTGCTGTCCCCAGGAGGAGGCGCGAGGGCACAGCCCGGACTCGGAGCTGACCGGGGGCAGGATGGGGGCTTACATAGTGAAGCGAGCCAGCCTGAAAAGGGGAGAGCAGTGACCCTTCCCATGGGCCCTGCTGAGGTAATGCCCCTTCGTTCTGACTAGCTCCTGCTCCGTCGAGCACCTGTGCCACCGTGCGGGCAGGAGACGCAGCTGCCCCACTAGGGCCTGCTGCAGAACCAGCCAGAGCTGGCAGCCTCTGCTCCCTGCTGCCCAGCCCGCCCTGCTCCTGGCAGAGGGCTGGCTTCTCTCCACCTGGGAGGCTGGCGCTGTAACACCTATCTGGCTTGCATGGCATTCCAGGGGAGGGGTGTGCCAGGGTGTCACCACGGTTACGGCAGGGGGGGGGGTTGCTACCCTGGTTACAGGTGCCATGGGGACCATGTTGGTGCCACCACGGTTACGGCAGGGGGGGGGGTTGCTACCCTGGTTACAGGTGCCATGGGGACCATGTTGGTGCCACCACGGTTACGGCAGGGGGGGGGGTTGCTACCCTGGTTACAGGTGCCATGGGGACCATGTTGGTGCCACCACGGTTACGGCAGGGGGGGGGGTTGCTACCCTGGTTACAGGTGCCATGGGGACCATGTTGGTGCCACCACGGTTACGGCAGGGGGGGGGGTTGCTACCCTGGTTACAGGTGCCATGGGGACCATGTTGGTGCCACCACGGTTACGGCAGGGGGGGGGGTTGCTACCCTGGTTACAGGTGCCATGGGGACCATGTTGGTGCCACCACGGTTACGGCAGGGGGGGGGGTTGCTACCCTGGTTACAGGTGCCATGGGGACCATGTTGGTGCCACCACGGTTACGGCAGGGGGGGGGGTTGCTACCCTGGTTACAGGTGCCATGGGGACCATGTTGGTGCCACCACGGTTACGGCAGGGGGGGGGGTTGCTACCCTGGTTACAGGTGCCATGGGGACCATGTTGGTGCCACCACGGTTACGGCAGGGGGGGGGGTTGCTACCCTGGTTACAGGTGCCATGGGGACCATGTTGGTGCCACCACGGTTACGGCAGGGGGGGGGGTTGCTACCCTGGTTACAGGTGCCATGGGGACCATGTTGGTGCCACCACGGTTACGGCAGGGGGGGGGGTTGCTACCCTGGTTACAGGTGCCATGGGGACCATGTTGGTGCCACCACGGTTACGGCAGGGGGGGGGGTTGCTACCCTGGTTACAGGTGCCATGGGGACCATGTTGGTGCCACCACGGTTACGGCAGGGGGGGGGGTTGCTACCCTGGTTACAGGTGCCATGGGGACCATGTTGGTGCCACCACGGTTACGGCAGGGGGGGGGGTTGCTACCCTGGTTACAGGTGCCATGGGGACCATGTTGGTGCCACCACGGTTACGGCAGGGGGGGGGGTTGCTACCCTGGTTACAGGTGCCATGGGGACCATGTTGGTGCCACCACGGTTACGGCAGGGGGGGGGGTTGCTACCCTGGTTACAGGTGCCATGGGGACCATGTTGGTGTCACCACGGTTACGGCAGTGGGAACTGTTACTCTGCTCACTGTGGCTGTGATACCATCTCCGCGATTGTTACCCTGGGTGTACCAGGGTGGCTGCGATAGTGTTCGCGGGGTGACAGGATGTCACCAGCAGTTACAGCATGCGGGGCTCTGGAGACTGCCCTTGGCACAGCCCTTCCCTGCGCTCTGCTATAAATAGCCGAGAGGAGTTGCTGACATCCCCGCCCTCAGGCCGCCCCGCGCTGTCAGCATGTTCTGGGGCCTGGGCCGGGGCTCGGGTTTCCTGGAATGAGGTGCCACATGCCCCAGAGCGCGGAGCTGACACAGGGCAGCTCTTCCTGGTGGCCAGAGCCCTCTGGGGGCAGGGTGCCACAGGGAGCTGCGCATGGAAGCCAGCCCCGCTCGGGGCAGCTGGACCTCACACCCATGCCCCCACGTGCGCCGCCTGTGCCAGCAGCACCCACCGTGCAGTGCGACTGTCCGCGTTGCTAGCAGGCCATGCGGGGCCTCCCTGGCAGCCAGCCCGCGGTGGGGACGGGGCTGTGAGCAGGGGAGGAGGGTGCGGGCAGGGGGCCCGTGGGCTGGGGGGCACATGCCTTGGGTGGAGCGTCCGTGTGCCCATGGCAAGTAAGCGGGCAGGAGCAGGGGGGCAGGTCTGCATGCCCAGCGCACTGTGCATGGGCAGCGGGCTGTGTGCGCCTGTGGCGGAGACGGTGGTGTTTGCTGGCGTGGCCTCTGGCTTTGGTGGAAGCACCAGGCTCCAGCCCCACCAGGAGTTCCTGGCTACTCAGGGTCTGTCCCCCGGCCATGCGCATTGAGCCAGCCTGGGCTGCTGAGGGCCGGGTGCCAGGGCATGGGATGAGCACGGTGCGGATGTGGCCTGTCCTAGCTGGCTGCATGGCTGGCTGCATGCGTGGACACAGCACGCCGGGCCCCTTCCCATCAGGACGGACGCTTCCACTGCTCTCCGCCTATGCACGCATGTGTCCATGTGTGTGTGCGTGAGCCGTGTGTTTGCGTGCGTGAGTAGTGCCCATGTGTGTGTGCGAGCCCTGTGTGTCCGTATCGGTGAGCTGTATCCGTGAGCTGTGTCCATGTGTGTACTTGAGCCGTGTGTGTGTGTGTGTGTGTGTGAGAGAGCCATGTGTGTCCGTGTGTGTGAGAGCTGTGTGTGTGCATGGCACATGTCCATGTGCTGTGAGTCAGTGTGTGCGCGTGAGCTGTGTGTGTCCATGTGTACATGAGCCATGTGTGTCTGTGTGTGTGTGAGAGCTGTGTGTCTGAGCCGTGTGTGTGTGAGCTATGTCCATGTGCATGAGTCGTTTTTGTGTGTGTGTGTTCACGTGTGTGCGTGTCTATGTGTGTGCGTAAGCTGTGTGTGGCTGTGTGTACATGAGCCATGTGTGTCTGTGAGTCGTGTGCTGTGTGTGTATGTGCGTGAGCCATGCGTGTCTGTCTGTGAGCCATGTGTGTGCGTGAGCTGTGTGTGTCCGTGTGCTGTGTGTCAGTGCATGAGCCATTTGTCCATGTGTGTGAGCTGTGTGTGTGTGAGCTGTGTCTGTGTGTGTACTTGACCCATGTGTGTCTGTGTGTCCATGAGCCGTGTGTGTGTGTGCGTGAGCTGTGTGTGTCCATGTGTGCATGAGCCATGTGTGTCTGTGTGTGTGTGAGAGCTGTGTGTCTGAACCATGTGTGTGCATGAGCTATGTCCATGTGCGTGTGCGTGAGTCATTTGTGTGTGTGTGTTCATGTATGTGTGCGTAAGCTGTGTGTGGCTGTGTGTGTACTTGACCCATGTGTGTCTGTGTCCATGAGCCGTGTGTGTGCGTGCGTGAGCTGATTGTGTATGTGAGCTGTGTGTGCGCGTGGCACGTGTCTGTGTGCTGTCAGTGTGTGTGCATGAGCTGTGTGTGTCCATGTGTACATGAGCCATGTGTGTCTGTGTGAGCTTTGTGTCTGTGAGCCATGTGTGTGCATGAGCTATGTCCATGTGTGTGTGCGTGAGTCCTGTTTGTCTTTGTGTGTGTCCATGTGTGTGTGTAAGCTGTGTGTGTCTGTGTGTACGTGAGCCATGTGTGTCTGTGAGCTGTGTGTCCATGTGCTGTCTGTGTCAGTGTGTGTACGTGCGTGAGCCATGTGTCCATGTGTGTGAGAGCTGTGTGTGTGTGTGAGCTGTGTCCGTGTGTGTGCGCGTGCGTAGCATGGCCTGTGCCGGTGCCAGAGGGATCCAGCCTGTGTTTGTCTGGCTGCCTCGTGCTCTGAGAGCTGGGCCCCTGCCCGGCAGCGCAGGACGCCGGGTTCTGTCCCCGCAGCGGCAGGGCTGAGGGCT